TATATATATATATAATTGGAAAATATTTCAGTTTTTATCAATTACATGTTGAGATGATAATATTTAGGCATTTGGAACAAATAATATTAACATTAATTCCAACTTTTTCACATTTTTAAAATATGGCTATTGGAAAATATAAAATGGCATATTTCTGTTGCCAGCACTGCATTAGCATGTACTACAATCTTACCAAATACTTTTTTTTCTATTTTTATTTTACATTAACTTAATACCGTGTATTATTATAATTAAGCATTAGCTGTTTTTAAGCACTCAGCTACTATCCAAAAGGTAGACTGTTCGAAACCAGCAGCCACTCTGCAGGAGGAAGGACTTGGCGATCTGCTCTATAACGAGTCACAGCGACAGCACAGAGCTTACTGCGGTTGAGTTTGCGCTGACAGACAGTAACCCTTTAAGACACAGTAGACCTGCTCCATAGAGTGCCCCAAGCGATACAGCTTTACACAAGCAAATTGCAGCATCTCTGCCTTGGGGTGTCAGGGAACCTTTGGTTAGCAGTTGAGTGTTTTAATTACTGTACCACCAGAGCTTTCAAAGAAGTTAAAATGGAGTGCTCTTCACAACATGAAATGTAGGTTCTGTTTGTGATTTTATAGGGTACTTTCTTCATTTATATTTAATAAAGAAGCACTTCAGTTCGCATGAAATGATTTTGCTAGGCCTATTAGAGGAAATTATTGTCATGTCTTACTTTTATAAAATTACCAAGGTAATAACATGTCTTAAGCATAATATCCTATATAGTAGCGAATATTGAATGTTGATGTGTCAATATTTATCTTTCTTACAAAAGCATAATTTACCCTCAGAATAAGGATGGTGAACCAGAATACAATCCATGCGGAAAGTATATGGTAAAACTTCATCTCAATGGTGTCCCAAGAAAGGTAAATAATGTCTCTCTCCCCCCTCTTCTCTCTCCATATTTGACTCTTTTGGAATCATTATTTGTGTGAACATTTTAAAAGTCAGTTGATTTTATTGTGTGTGTTATTGGTAATCGTATTACTGTAACAGTAACATACTGTTGATCGTTAAAAATAAAAATGGGCTTTCTACTCGAGTAAAGTGACAGTCGTGGAAACTTGCGGGGCAGTTCTACCCTGCCCGATAGGCTCACTGTGACTAGCTTCACTCAAGGGCTGTGCGATTTTGAGGTAAAATGGTTGGGCATCAAGGACACCTAATAGACAGGGCTGCTGGTTCCAGATTCTAATGACTACATCAGTGCACACTGAGGGAGCTTGAGATGATAGGCCGGCTTAAAAGACAGACTTAGAATTTCTGTAAGGAAAGATTTTGTTAAGCACTGATTAGATCTCTAAAAAGGGGAGGGGGAAATGTCATGTGTGCTTTGCCTTGGGCCTTCTAATGGAGTTATGCTATCACTTTTCATTTCCTCAGAATATTTAGCGGAAATTACTAAGAAGTCAAAAAAGGAACTAGATGGGCCTGGTTTATGATTATCTTATCTCAAAGGTTTTATGTTTGGTTTTTACTTTAAATGATACATGCATTGTGAGTACTTTAAAGTGAGAAACAGTATTTCTTCTGTTCATGCTAGCAATAATAAAATGATTTAAGAGATTATGATTTTTTTAAATAGGATAAAAGTTATGAAAAGCTCCAAAAGTAGCATTGGGCTAATGGTTACTACCCTGTTTCCCCAAAAGTAAGACATCCCCCCAAAATAAGACCTGCTTACAGTTTTGCCTCTCGCTGAATAAAAGGCATCCCCCCAAAAATAAGGCCCCCCGAAGCTACCCTGGACCGTAGTAACAGGCGCCGCAGCGCATCTCACTGTTGGCCACAGCGCAACCGGAGCAGACAGGAAGTGCAAAGTCTCTTTTAATAAAACAATAAACAATAAATGTGTACCATATTCTTCTTCATGGAAAAATAAGATATCCCCTGAAAATAAGACCTAGTGCATCTTTGGGAGCAAAAATTAATATAAAACGCTGTCTTGTTTTCGGGGAAACAGGGTAGTGCTTAAAAATACCTTTTAATCTGCTAGTTCTTAATTCATATTTTTAATTAAGAGGAAATCAGACCATGTATATCTATTAGAAAATTTATATGTATTTCATAATCTGAACTATAAGAATTTTTAATAATGTTGGGGGTTTTTTCCTTTTTGAAATGTATAAAATTCACTGCCATCAAATCTATTCTGATTAACAGCTATCCTACAGGGCAGAACTGTCCTAGTATAAAATATATACAGTATAAAGACTGCAAAACTTTATAGGAACAGAAATCCTCATCTTTCTTCCATGGAACAACGAGCAAATTTAATTTGCTGGCCTTGTGGTTAGCAGCCTAATAATATGTAACCCCCTAGACCACCAGAGCTCACAAAAATTTTAACACCACTTTTCATTCTATCAAGGTCTCGGAACCATGTCCACTCAGATTGGTCTATTGATCAGCACCTCCCAGTATCTTGTTAACAGACTTCCTGAGTTAAGAGTCTGTGTCTTAGCAAGATCCCCAGTGATAAAGTGCACAGTTAGGTTTGAGAAATGTTGCTTTGTGGTTCAGTAGTACTGAAACTTGTGTGTGCACAGAGTCCCATGGAGGACTTTTTCAACCAGATCCACTCCCTGAGTATCTAATGCAGTAAGTCTGAAACAGATCCTGAGAAATTGCATTTCTCACAAGTTTCAGGTGATGTTGATGCAGTTGGTATGGGAACACTCGATGGGAACCACAGCTCCAGCTAATTACTTAAAAATGAATCATGTTTCTGGATGATCGTTTTTAAATCATCTTGGTTAATCTTCAAAAATACAGTTACTTAGTTTTCCTAATACTGTTAGATCAGAACTCTTCTTATTGCTGTTACCCAATTGTCTTTGCATAATATTATTTTTCGTGATTACAGTCTCTTAAATGTTTTTTAGTTATAATGTTCTACTTTTTCAGCTTTACATAGTATGCATCTTTTTGAAGATTTAGGGCAGGAAATAGACTTTTACGTGGTTGAAACATCAGATGGTAATGTTTTTTACATTAATGTGTAGTCCTTTTTTAGATATTATTAAGATAGTATATATTTCTAAAATTGATAATAATTTTATGGTAGTTCCATGCCATTTAATGAACTGACTCAAGTGAAATTATAAGATTGAACAAGACCTCATGTAAACTATTTAATATATTAGATTCCAGAAATTGGATTATCAATCACGACCGTAATAATAGGTATAATGTGACTTTTGTTTAGTAATAAGATTGATCGTTTTTTTCTTAACAGAAAAGAAATGATATTTTGTGTCATTGAAGGAAATTCGTGTTTTCTTTATTCAGGTGATAATTGATGACCATTTACCTGTGGATCATAAAGGAGAATTGCTCTGTTCTTATTCCAACAACAAAAGTGAACTGTGGGTTTCTCTCATAGAAAAAGCATACATGAAAGTCATGGGAGGATATGATTTCCCTGGATCCAATTCAGTAAGTAATTGATCGGATGATCCAAGACACAGATTTGTGCTATCTAGTAAGACTTATATTTGAAAAATAAATGAAGCCTTTGTTAAGAGCGGGAAAAAACATACCAACCTATAAAAATGCTAACCTTATTATAGAGGTACATATTTTCTTATGTAAAGATAGCACATTGTATGGATTCTGTACCTGGGAAAAGCCAACAAATATGTGTTTCCTGAGCCACTAATAACCTTACAGTCAGTGGTTTGAACCCACTGACTTATGCAAGTGGTCACTGCACAGAGAAAGATGAGGCTCTCTGCTGCTGTAAAGATTTAAAGTCTTGGAAACCCAAAGCTGTAGTTCTGCTTTGTCTGAAAAGGTCGCTGTGTGTTAGAATCAACTGGATGGCAGTGAGTAGTGGTAGACTCATTGTGCCATTATGTTTGGGTACACTGCCAGTTAAATGCAATGTACCTTTCTAGAGAAGCCTATTCAGATCAAAGGGACGTGACATAATTTCATCCTTCTGTTTTTGCAGTTTGGTAGATTTGAGCCCCAGGAGTTGTATTTGTTTCTCCAGCCTCAGCATCACTTAGTCTTCTGAATTTGTGCAATGCTGGTGTCATTTAGTTGCATGAAATGAACTGTTAAGCCTAAGCCAGAATTGGTGTAGCTTTTGAATAATGACACTGGCCAGCTTATGGCCTCAGAAAATGTGTTGAACATTTCTCAGGCTCTTTGCTGTGTTGTAATACTGCCCCTCAAGTTTGTAAAAATTAAGTGAAGTTAACTATATGTGAAATAGGTTAGTTTTCTTGCATAATAGTCTGTTTCTTCACTCTCGTTTTTTATGCTAGGCAAAGAATATATGAAGGGGGGGGTCAAAAATTTTGTGGAAAAAATCTTGTACTTTTCAATTCCATTTTCCATGACCTTTTGAAGCCCCCTCGTATACTGCATGGTAAAATGCTGTGGGACGTACTCAGTCTGTGTGCTTCATTGCTGAAGTGATGCGGTCCTTCTGATACTTGAGGGTAGTTTCTAGCCATCGCCTCCTACCCAGTGAAGTTAAAGGAAGCAAGCATGAGGATGTGCACACACATTTAGTACAGTGACTAGAAGATGGGTGTCTGTCGTCGCTGTCATCATTGGGGACTTTTTTAGTTCGGTGTTTTGAGTTTTTATGATAAAAACTGTATGATTTTGTTGTTGTTGTTGTTGTTTTTAAAAAAAACCATACAGGTTTTTATGATAAAAACTCCAGATTATGAATTAATTCCATCTGTAAGTCTGTCTTTTAGGTTGAATTTGAATATAATTCAAGATAGTATGGCTTGCATCTAGTATGGCTTGATGTTAGTCAGTGTTTGTATTAATATATAGCATTGTTCTCCAAAATGAGCTGTACCACCCCCTGGGAGGGAGGCACTGGAACATCCAGTGGGCTGAAAAGGCAGAGACCTACACTTTATCTTGAATTACAGGCTATAATACAAAAGTTTTTCATACCGAGAGGGCACTGAATAGTATTGTTTATTTTATTTTATTTCTGAAAAGAAGGCAGTGGGCCAAATAAATATGGGAAACCTGTGGTATATAGCCTATCATTTTATGCATAAAAAACATTAAAGAAAGAAACATACACCAAAATATCTTTAATATCATATAATAATATAGTAGTAGTAATAATCTTTGTTTTTCCATTTATACCACTGGCCTTTTTAAAAATAATTTATTTGTGTCTTAAAGTAGCACTCGTTATTATGAGTCATTGTATGTGCCTTAAATTGTTAGTATAATAAGGCTTGGCTCATTATCTGTGGGTTGTTTTTAAGTTGGACGATTGTACACAGCAGTGCCTGTATTGGAGAAAACCGCAAAGGGTATAAAGAGAAGACAAGCATGTGCTTAAGTCAGGTAGGAATTTGAGTTAAGTAAGAAATTTACTGATGTCATCAAGGAGTTCATCTTGCTTGAATTCACAATCATTGCTCATGGAAGCAGCAGTCAAGATCAAACGACACATTACATTGGGTAAATCTGCATAAAAACTTAGTGTTGACAGCAAGGGTATTACTTTGAGAGCTAAGGTGCATCTGACATAAACCTGAGTAAGAATCGATGCCTTTGAATTAATGGTGCTAATAGAGAGTATTAAAAGTAATACGGACTACCAAAAGAACAAACAAATCGGTCTTGGAAGAACCACAGCCAGAGAGCCCCGTGGAGGCAAGGATAGTGAGATGTCTTTGACCTGCCCAGAGAGCCCCGTCACTGGAGCAGCATATCATGCTTGGTCCAGTAGAGGGGCAGCGAGTAAGGGGAAAGCCCTAAGTAAGGTGGATGAACACAGGGACTGCAACAGGGACAATTCTGAAGATGGTACAGGACCATATGGTGTTTCTGTCTGTTGTGCGTAGGGTCCCTGTGAGTCCGAGTTAACTTAAAAGCACCCAACAAGAGGAAGAAATGACTACCTTCTGACTCAGTCCTATAAAGGCATTATAGTAGTAATCCAGTGAGGATTTATTTATTCCCCACTACACTGGGGATTTATTTGAGAGTGTGAAAACAACTTTGACAGTCCTGAAATGTATTTATGTTGCAGAATATAGATCTTCATGCACTGACTGGATGGATACCAGAAAGGATTGCTATGCATTCCGATAGCCAAACTTTCAGTAAGGATAATTCTTTCAGAATGCTTTATCAAAGGTAAGCAGTTCTTCTATTTTGCAATAAGATGCTGCTTTAAAAACGTGCTGTATTTAAAGTAGGGATTATAAAAGCTTGTCATTTTCAGTCATTAGGGAAATTATTTTTAAAATACATTTCACTTTATACCCTTGCTACAGTAGTAGTTATAGTTAATCCAAATGGTACTCACTACCATCAAGCCAATACTGACTTATAGGGACCCTCTAGGTCTAGGACAAAGTAGAACTGCCCCTGTGGATGTCCAAGTCCATAACTCTTTATAGGAGTAGCAAGCCTCAGCTTTCTCCTGAAAACCGGCTGGTGGTTTTGAACTGCTAACTTTGTGGTTACCAGCCCAATTGTTAACCACTGCACCACTAGGGCTTCTAATCCAATGGTAGATAGTGCAAAATATTTTATCAAGAATTTGTCATTGAGACTGGAGCCATTACTGTAAAGAATGAAATGACATAAGGGTGACATCTGACCACCTCTGGCTCCCACTGGCTTATCACCAAAGGTCAAGAGGTCAGTCAGAATAATTTCTTCTTTGCTGCTCCTTCAAGCAAGTCTCTTTCTGGTCCACGGCCTCTTGGCCTAGCCTCTTCCCTGCTAAAGAAATATTACAGAGCTCTTTTAGGGTCACCCATAAACAACACCCAGCCGTGACGCTCCAATATTAGGCTTACCCCCAAAGGCACTCAGCTCCAGTTCTCTGAGCTGGCATGCCCACCTCCTATAATTAAGTGTCCAGAGGCACCTGTCCAGGAGCACTTAACTTTACTTGCTTTGAGGACTGGGAAGTCCACAACTCTGGCTCCAGGTTCTGCTATTGCAGCTCCTCTCCCATCCTCTGGTACCAAAACTAGCTCCCAGATCAAGGAGGCTCAATGTGCAGGGCTGTTGGGGTCCAAAATACCTGTTCCACTTCTGATTCGAAGATGACTCATTTTATACCCAGCAGAATGGCAACCACAGTTAATGCTGTTAATAATTTCTCACAGCTGAATCGTGTAATCTTACCCGTTCCTACCCAATATAATCCAGTCATTTCTTGCTCAGACCATCAGGAAAACAAAGGTCATTTGGTGGGAGTCACAAAGGCTATGGGTAGAGGAGACATTAAATAATTCACTGCACTGCAGTAATCACCAGAAGAAGGGAATTTGTATTCCCTAAGCACTGGTAATGTCTGGGAATGTGAAAAAAGAGAAAACTAGAACCTAAAGATAATAAGCACAAATGGAAACGTTATCTACGTAACACACCTAGGAGCAAAACTGGACAGCCCAGTGACTTGATAAATAAAATTATGTCCTTTTTAAAGAAACACATTTGTTCTTCCATATTTTTTACTTTCCGTTGTAAGCCTTTGGAAATTTGTTCATTTGTTTTCCTTCATTGATAGGTTTGTACCTGAGAATGACATTGTCTAAAACTGGCAATGGGTGAAGCACAGGTATTTAATGCCAATCATGCTATGAGAAGAGCCCTGGTGGCATAGTGGTTATAAGTTAGGCTGCTAATCCCAAGATCAGCAGTTGAAAACTACCAGCAGCTCCTTGGGAGAAAGATGAGGCTTTCTACTCCCTTAAAGAGTTCCAGTCTCAAAACCCCACAGGGGCAGTTCCACCCTGTCCTGTAGGGTTGCTCTGAGTTGGAATTGACTCGAGGACAATGAGTTTGGTTTGGTTTCATATGCTATGAACTAAAGAGCAAGAGTCTGCTTTGTGCTGGAAGTTCATGTGCGGGAGGGAGGAGCACAATTTAGAATAGGTTTCAAATCTGAGGACATTTTCATGTACGAGACCAGGCTAACAGGAAGATGGTCTGAGCTGAGCTAATACAATGTTTCTCTCTGCTTGTCTTTGGGTCATTCAGATTTCACAAAGGGGATGTCCTGATCACCGCATCGACTGGCATGATGACTGAAGCTGAAGGAGAGAAGTGGGGACTGGTGCCCACGCATGCATATGCTGTTTTGGATATTAGGGAATTCAAGGTTTTGCCTTCAATTCTTTTCTCTTGTGTTTCTTGTTTAATAATGCATTAAAGGACCTCAAACGACACACTCGTTTTTTTAATATTTGATATATCAAGTTTTAGGCAGAGTTTTGGTTTTTGTTTGTTTGGTTTTGAGCCAGTGTTTTAAAACGATTCCACTTAACACATTCAACAATCTCTCCCACCAGAAATTATGAAATAAAACAGTGAGAAATGTTAAGGCCGAGACAGCCCAGACATTGATGATAGAACAGAAATGCTGTCATAGCACCTTCTTTTCCAAAAAGGCACCAGGTTTTGTCATGAGTACAGTGCCCTGAAGGTTCTGGACTTCATGCAAGGTACAGACCCTTAGCACATAGGTTCTTGAGGAGAGGAGAGGAGAGGAGAGTATATTTGTGAAAGGATAGGAAAGAAGAAGAGACGTGGGTTTGGGTAAGCCAGTGTTGCTCTCCTTGCCTGCTCTCGGGCTTTTCACGCTCTTTGTATTTCCTGTGCTGAGTGTTGAGACACTTTCTTAGTTCTGACTTCTGTATAAAAACGGTTTCGTGTTTATCTCATGCAGGCACTTAACCGCAGAACCTTTTTGTGCAGATAGACCTAATCGTAGATAAATGTCGTTAGCATGCGAGTCAGCTCTGCTTCCAAGGGGCCCTGTGTACAATGTACAGAACAAAATACTGTCGTATCCTGTGCTAGCTTCACAATTGTTCCCAGTTTTGAGCCTGTTGTTACAGCCACTGGGTCAGTTCATCCTGTTGAAGGTCTTCCCTCTTTCATTGACCTTCTACCAAGCATGATGTAATTATGCAAGGACTGGTCTTTCCTGATAACATGTCCAAAGTACCCGAAACCAAGTCTCATTGTCCTCACTTTACTGGGACTCTTCTGGCTGTACTTCCAACCCACATTTGTTTGTTCTTCCCCTAACTAAAGGACACCCATTCTCCTTGGCCTTCCCTATTCACTGCCCAGCTTCCGCAGGCATTTGTGAAATACCATGGCTCGGTCCGGCACACCTTCGTCCTCTGGGTGACTTCTCTACTTTCTAAAACTTTAAAGAGCCCTGGGTGTTGGTGATGAATGCAAGTCAAGTGAAACCCCTGACAGCTCCAGTTTTTCTCTGATCATGATGTTGCTTCGTGGTCCAGTTGTGGGGACTTCTGTTTTCTTTGTTGAGCTATCCATCGTCATCAGGGTGCTTCAGATCCTCTTAAGCATGGCTGTATCATATGCATGCCAGAAGTTACTAGTCGTCCTTCAGTCCTGATGCTGCATTCTTCATATAGTCTAGCTTCATGCATTATTTGCTCAGCATTCAGATTGGGGAAAGGATACAATCCTGATGATCAGGAAGCTTCCCGATTTTGGTCCACACAGTAAGTATCCCCTTGTGTTGGAGCAGGCCTCTTGGTCTATGTGCAGATTCCATAGGAGCACAGTGAGTATTTCCATTCTTCCCAATATTATCTACCATCTGCGATGATGCACACAGTCAAATGCCTGTGCATTATCAATGAATCTCAGATAAATATCTGTCTGATGTGCTCAGCTTTCAGCCAAGATCCATCTGACAATTAACAATGCTATCCCTTGTTGTACATCCTATTCTGAATCCAGTTTGAATTTCTGGCAGTTCCCTGGTGATAGACTGCTGAACCTCTTTTTGAATTATCTTTAGCAAAACTTTACTTGGGTGTGATATGAACACTAAGCCAGAACAAAATCCCCTGCCATAGTGACCGGACTTCGGGTTTCCAAAACTATCTCAGTCTTTGCATAAGCAGGCATCCTCATCATTCTCCTTCTGTAGTGGGTTTGAACCATTGACCTCGGCGTTAGCAGCCTTCCTTGATATTAATATTGTTCAATAATATTGGGTCACCTATCTCTTAGTCCATTGGCCAGATGGCGATCTTTCACTTTTCTTGCCATAGACAAGTGAGCACCTTGTGTACTGCTTCCATTTGCCTAAACATTTTAGTTGATGCTTTACCATTTCCTGGAGCCTGTGTTTCTCCTCTGCCTTGGAGCTCTGCCTTCACTTACAGGGCTCTTGATCATATGCCACCTTGTCAAATGCTTGAACCTCGACCACTTCTCTTCTGAGTACAGGGACTCCGTCTATTCCTTCCAGCTCCTGTGGATGCTTCCTGTGTCCTTCAGTTATTTTATCTTTGTTGAAAGACACCTTCAGACTTATTCATGACCTTTTATTTATATCCATTTTTAATTAATACTTGTTTGAAAGTGCTATCCATTCTTTCCTTGACTGCCTCAACCTTGTTGATATTCTCAGAACTTTTTCATTTTAGTTGCAGCAAATCTCCCTTTGGATTATTTGATTTTCCTCCCTTCTTGAAGTGACACCTATGAGTAGTATACTGTGGAGGTCCACCTTAGGGTCAGACTGCTGTTTCTCATCTGGACAAGGCCATCGTGAGGTTCCTGAACCTATTCAATACCTTTCCGTACCTGTTACTAGGAAATAACTCTGGAAATTCAATATTCCAGGATAATCCATATTCTGTTTTTAGTTCCTTGACATTTCTTCTTCTATTCAGGATCCTCTGAATTGCTGGTTTTCCACTTGGCCAAACACTATCTGTAGCCATATCTGGGTGCCCACTGAAAACCTTGACAGTAGTTTCCTCTTGGGTTCCTTTTTAAAAGAAATGTTTTAATCCTGCAATGAGAGAAGTTTCCTGCCTGTGAGGACTTTGGTCTTATGAAAAGGAAGGAGTTTAAATTTTTAAATGTCTGTTCATTGATGTGGGGCAAGGGTAAAGCATAGGTGGTGTAGAAGAAGCAAAGAAAAATTGATTACTGAAGCTTCAGAGGGATATAAATTGAGAGAAACAACTCATGTCTAGAAATCAAATTTACCCAAGGCCATGATTTGCCATCATCTTAAAGTGGCAAAAAAATGTAGTTTTGGACAAACACTGTATATACTCAAGTATAATCCGACCCGACTGTCAGCTAAGGCACCTAATTTTACCACAAAAACTGCATTTAAAATGTGCTGAGAAACTCGGCTTATACACGAGTATATACAGCAGTGGTTCTCAACCTTCCTAATGCTGCGACCCTTTAATGCAGTTTCTCATGTTGTGGTGACCCCCACAACCATAAAATTATTTTCGTTGCTACTTCATCACTGTCATTATGAATCAGGCGACCCCTGTGAAAGGGTCATTCTACCCCCAAAGGGGTCGTGACCCACATGTTGAAAACCGCTGATATACAGTAATATCCACTTTGACTTAATAGAAAAGCTATACAGTTTCCTAACGTGACTGCCTGCAATCGATGTTGTTTTGGATTTGCAAACTCTTGCTTCTAAGTCCGTGTCATTATTCAGTAGACCCTGTGTTCATTGAGAGCTTCCCACAGGCTGTAGCCTGTGGTCTCATGTTTATTTAGAGTGGTGTCTCCACTTCAAGGAGTTTATAGCCTCATTGGCCGGAGTAACATGAAATTTGAGATAGAATGTATTTCAAATTAATATAGTATGGATTGTTCATACCATAAAGTTTATCTATACTGCCAGTGGACGACCCTGGAGGACAGGGTAGAACTGCCCTTGCAAATTTTTGAAATGGTAGAAGGAAATTTATGAGTGCTAGATACATTGCATCTGTTAGTATACATTTAATATTCACAACAGTATAAGGAGACATTATAATCCTCATTTCACATCTAAGTAAACTAAGACCCTGAGAGGATCGGTGGCCCACCCAAGGCTCATAAACCTGGTAAGGACTGGAGCTGGAATTTGGTCCCATTATTTTGACTCCAACACCCATTCTTTTCACTCTGCTTCACTACTTTTTATAAATTTAACCACGTGTGGTTAGTGACTGTTGTATTATAGGACAACATAGCTCTCGGTAGTAGCAAGCTCTTTCAAGTTTGTTAGACATGTGCCCTGATAAAAGTGTTGCTGAAAGAATGTTAATTTCAGGTTGATTTGGAGGGAAAGTAATTGGTAAATACTCAAAATCTATCCTCTCTTAGAGACAGTGTTATATTCACAAAATAAACATAAAGCTTAGCTATTTGTGTTAATGCCTGTCTTTGTCTATAGGGGTTGCGATTTATCCAGTTAAAAAACCCTTGGAGTCACTTACGCTGGAAAGGGAGATACAGTGAGAATGACGTGAAAAACTGGACTCCAGAGCTGCAGAAATATTTAAACTTTGATCCCCGAACAGCCCAGAAAATAGACAATGGTAAATATGTTTTTGTAATGTCCGTTCCACATGAACATCAAGTAAATATCACATTTAACTCTGTGGAACACTTAAGGCATTTGTTACTAAGATATTTTTAAATTAAAAAAGACATTTTATTTTCAGGAATATTTTGGATTTCATGGGATGATTTATGCCAGTATTATGACGTGATTTATTTGAGTTGGAATCCAAGTCTTTTTAAAGAATCAACATGTATTCACAGGTATGTTTTTGTATATTTTAGAATATGCCTTGTAAGAAATCTCAGCGTTTCTCATTCAAGATGAGATGTTAATTTATAACACTGGCATTCTCTTTTTATCTTACCCACAATTGACCATCAAATAATAATTTATTTATTTATTTACTTCTTGTTTGTCCCAAAACCTTGCAAAACAATTAAATGAAAGCATAATTGCATCGTTGTTTTAAAACACAACACCTTTTTAAGTTCTGTTTCAGCTCTGTGAGAAACGTCATTGCCATCCTTATCTTTGTTGACTCTTGTCTTTCAGTACCTGGGATGCTAAGCAAGGACCTGTGAAAGATGCCTATAGCCTGGCCAACAACCCCCAGTACAAATTGGAGGTGCAGTGTCCACATGGGGGCGCTGCGGTGTGGGTTTTGCTTAGTAGACACATAACAGACAAGGTACTGCCAACCTAACACGATCCCATACAGAATTTAATTCTTTATGTGTAACTAGAATATTGTAAAAGAGGAACATAAACCGATTACCTGTTTCATTTATGTAGGCACCCTGGAAAGAGCCTTTTTTTCCTTGATAAATGAATATTTTCCTCCAGAAAATGTGTCATGCATTTAAAATCTGTTGAAAACTCATCACTGGAGAAAAATGTGAAGGAACTTAATGATTTCTTAGTGAGGGTTTGGGAGTTAATTTTAGTTAACTCTTAATAATAGTGACATTAAAATAAGCTGAAGGGGGTTTGAAAGTATTGATTAATTTGGCTACATTCTGTAAAAAAGTAACCATAATCTAAATAGCTTTAGTATCTTATATATTAGCATAGTGGAATAATCTCCTGGAATAACAGGTTGATTCAGGAAATAAAAGGCTTGATTGAGCACAAAGTAGCTAAAAGAAATGCTCTTGAAATTAGATTTTTAAAATATATATATATGTAGATATACACTAAATAAGGAGCATTTTAAGCCCATTTTCATAACCACATTGGATTCTTTGTGATTTTAGGATGATTTTGCAAATAATCGAGAATTTATCACAATGGTTGTGTACAAGACTGATGGGAAAAAAGTTTATTACCCAGGTATGTTTAAGTAGCCAAGGAAACATTAAATTTTATTTACTTGATCAAGTTGAAAAATGACAAATTTTTTCTAGGTAATGTGCAGAACTTCATTAGCAACATGTAAACAGATGGGTGGGTATTTATGCTACTTGTGTTTTTGTTTAAAAGACTCCGGAATAAGGAATCTCTGTTCACTTTATGTTTTTAACACTGAAAGCCCTGCCCTTTTTCTCTCATCAGAAATAGGTCTCATGGCCTCCGTGCTTTGTTAGATAAAATCTGAACTCTTCAGCCTGGTGTGTAAGGTTTTGACATGTTTATATGATTTGTTTCTTTTCTGACCTTAACGTTTCTGACCCTTTGTATGTCATGACCCAATTTTCCATGGGACCCTTACTAAGGTTCTGGCTCTCCCTAACCACACCGTGTCTCTGCTGGACCTCTCTCCACAGCATTTTCTGCCCTCCTCTCTGCCCTCTACCCACATACTCTTTTCACTCAGTTCTTCATAGTGAAGCTGCTTAAGACTCAGCCCAAACACCATCTCCACTATAATAACCTTTCCAGATTGTTAAAATGATCACTCTCCCTCTCTCAGTACTTCTCAGGCTTTTAATATACTGTGTTGAAGTCACTTTCCATTCATTTGTTTAAATTTTTTTTTAATTACCCATTGATGGCACTATTTTTAGGGCACGAGAAAAACTAGTGAATAAAACTGGTTTTTGCTTTCATGGAGTTTAAGTCCATGTGGTGTGTGACAGATCATAAACCAGAAGAGGATCAGCATGATGCATGTTGTATAAAGACATTAGCGTCATGACTCCTTGGTTGCTTCCATTGAGTGATCATGCATGACAGAAAGGAAGGAATGGTACACAGAGAAATAAGTAAAAGCATTTCAGGCAGAGGGAGCAACTAGTGAGGACCCTACGATGGGAAAAAGATTGATGTGTTTCAGGGGCCAAAAAAAGGCAAAAGGGAGCTATGGTATAAGAGGTAAATAAAAAAAAAACATAGGGTCCAGATCATCCCAGGAGCTCTGCAAGGGCTTGCATTCAGTGCAGTGGGCCGTCCTTGGAGAATCTCGATCAGTAAAGTGGCATGTGATTCTTTTTTTAAGAGCGTTCTTAGTAATATATCAGGAACATGGGAACCACTTTGGTGCTTGTATGAGTTCCTGTGAGGAATGGTGGTTTGGACTGGGGTGGTCAGGAGATCATACAGGAGTGGACAGATTGGGGCTCCAGTGAGTTTCCAGGGCTTGTGGGTGTAAGTAGATGATAGAGGGTAAGGAAGACGTCAGGACCATTTCCTTTTTATTTTAACTCACGCAGTGAAGACTGGCATTTACTGAAATAAATAAGAACTGGGTTGGGGAGAAATAGATTTGTTCTGAAATAAAATCTAAAGTTCTGTTTTTGTTCTGTTAAATTTGAGATAAACCTACTAGTTAGGCAAGTGCAGATGCTGAGTGGGGAGTTGAGTTTTGAAGCAGGGTTCTGGTGTCACATCAGGGTTAGGGGTGTGGACTGAGGAGTCAGAGCCATGTTGGTGAGCTGTCTATACAATCTCACAGGACCTCCTGGTCCTTGGGCTCTCCGATGTCTGGGCATTGAGTAAAGAAAAAGATTAAACAAGGCGAGAATTTGAACCAGGTGACAAAAAGAGAGGAGGGAAACCAGAGAAGAAAGTATTTCAGGAACGAGGGAGCTGCATCTGTTGTGAATTGAGAGAGCAAGGACGGTTAAGACAGAGAGACTACTGGATTTAGGATCTTGACAATCATTGATGATCTTGACAAGAATAGTCTTGGTGAGAGGTGGGACCCAGAAGCCTAAATGGAGTTAAGAGTCCGTGAGGTAAGGAAAGAACCAACTATGGACGGTTCTTGTACGGTGACTAAACAAAGAAATGGCACAATGATGGGGGGCAATGGGATCAGAAGTGGGTTTTTTTTTTTTTTTTTTTTTTTTTTTTCAGAAGTGGGTTTTTTTTAATCATTTACTTAATCATAGTCGAGCATGGCATTCTTCGTTGTCCTGTGTTGAAGGCAGGCACTGACGTTTTATTAGTTGATAATCCCTAGGCTGTAGAATGAACAGGACACAGACTAGGTCCAAAAATAAATGTAAAATGTTGCTCATTATACAGCTAACAACCACAAATATTTTGAGTCTATGACTGGTATTGAAATGTGACTTTTATGTTTCAACGATATTTTATTACCTTAAAAAAACATTTACACATTTGTAAATCGTCATTTACATTTTACAGTTTGAATATTTTCAAGTTTGTCGTGTTTTTTTCATGACATCCTAACATTTTGTAGTGAAGAGGAAAGGACTTGCTGTTCTCCGCTCGACAGACGTGAACGAGGGCCTTGAACACCAACCTCGTGGGAGCTCACAGATGCTCTCCCAGGCAGAACTGGGGCAGTCTTGATATGCCCGTCCCGTTCTTTTCACGAGAGACATTACCACCTGTGAGCACTAGCGCGAGACTAGTGTTCACACCACTATGTTTGCTGTTTCTCATGCGTGTCATTACAATCATCCGAGGAGCTAATTTTATGGTTGAAGGCAGAAAAAAATGAAATGGAAGGACATCACTTTAATTGATTCTGTGTCTTTAAAATACAATGGTGTCAAGGAATCGTTTCCAATTATTTTGCTATTACAAGCAGTGCTGCCGTATATGTTCTTTGACAGCAGCACTGGTGGAATCATTTATGCTTGGCACTGACTGTTTAGCTCAGGACTAATGCTGGATCACGGTGCTCCTGGTGGAGTCAAAAGGCCGACCCTGTGGTTAGCAGCCCGGCATACTGCCAATCATGACTGGTACGAATGTGCTTGTGTGTGTGCATACTTTTAAAAGTCTGAAATGTCCACAGAACTCATCAGCATGGAAGGGACTAATACTATGGGTAGTGGTTTTATATGGGACTATGGGATTTTATTTTTAAAAATATGGCTTTAAAAAAAAAGTAGTTATAACTTGAAAAATGAAATGAATAATTCTCATAAAAAAGTGTAATTCAAAATATTTGTAATCTGCCTACCTATACTAGCTTTTTAACTTTTCCTCAGAAGAAAAGCTAATCCTGACTTCAAAATACTCTATATTAAAGTATTTTAATTCATTAAGACCATTATATTTTAAAGACAGACTCAAAGTGATGTTCACCCATTTAAATTTTTCTGCCATCAGTTACAAAATTTAAATTCAAAAAGGAATCTGAAGTCTCTTTTCTGATATACTTACTTGTTTTGTAGCTGACCCAGCTCCCTACATTGATGGAATTCGAATTAACAGCCCTCATTATTTGACTAAGATAAAGCTGACCACACCTGGGACTCACACGTTTACGTTAGTGGTTTCTCAGTATGAAAAGCAGAACACAATCCATTACACAGTCCGGGTAAGTAAAACCACCATGACCGTGACAACACCCAACATGGAACATGCCTGTGCTGTTCTGTGGAAGTCAGAACACCTGGAGGAGTTGATGGCTGAAAACTGATTGCTCTCTAAAGCACACATCGTTTTTTTATGTCTATATCTGTGTGTATAAAGCCTATTACGCTACTGCAATGCCTCCTTTGGGGAATAATGACTTGGAAAAGTAATTTATTTTGAATGAACATTTTAATTTTTTGAGTAATAGTTTAGTCCTGAGTTAATAAAGTATAGTTGGACTAATGTCAACTTTAAAGCTTTCAGAATAATGTCAGTGACTTGCAGTGAACTGAAAGAAAGGTAGGCAGTCGTGTGGGTGATTGAGTGTGCTGCTCTCGGGCACCTGAGATCATTACAGTTTTTGTCTTATGAAGATGTGTGTGCCGTGGGTCAATGAGAGGCTCACTTTGAACAGGTTTTCAGTGACGAGAGGCTCTCGGTGCAGGAGCCATGACCTGACGAGATGGACATTCATCCAGAGGCACACACGGTCAGCGGCAGAGAAGAGCTGAAACACAATCCCCAGCTTTGATTCCCAGTTCGTTGAACTTGATATTGGGCTGCCTAAAGAAGAAAAATTTACGTATGCCAGCTAAGGTGTTAGTCTCCCAGTACCTTCTCACCACTTTGATGTTGATGAGCATAAGGACGATCTCATTGGTAGATCAAGCCCTGGTGTACGTGTAGTGGGTTACACAGTGGGCAACTGCTCCCATAGAGAGTTACAGTCTTGAAATCCACTGGGGCAGTGCTGCTCTGTCCTGAGGGATCTCTGTGAGTCAGGATCAACTGATTGACAGTGAGTTGGGGGTTTTATTTGGAATCAATCAGTGTTTTTTGAACATAGGTGTATTCGGCATGCAGCTTTACTTTCTCAAAGATCCCTTCACCATACACCTTGTCAAGACGGGTAAGAAATCTTCTGGGCCATCATCTCAGCATTCTCACATGTCACAACTACTTTCCCACTCTTCCCCCACCCCCACCCCCGTTTTTAGCCTTCACATTCTTCTGTTTACTTCTCAAGAAATCAAAACTTCCTGGGGCTCAGTGGGATGCAGGGGGGAAATACAAGTAGTCTCCAGTATAAGAAGACAGATTTTTCACATAAACATGATGAAGCAATTCTATCTGCTGAGGGAAAAAAAGAATAAATTCTGAGAAAACAATGCGAACCCTGATGGTTGGGGTTACGTGCCGATGAGCTTAGTTGGGGGGGGGCGCGGGGCGGGTGACAGGGTGGAAGTGGCCCAGCCAAGAAGTCGAGTTCATGATGGCGATGTCAGACAGAGCTGGGGAGGGGGTGGGCCCAGAGAGAGGGCTGCTATCTTCATGGTTTTCTGACTCCAGGGGATGAGGAATTTTGTTTTTAGAGTGTGATATGAGAATCTGAAGTTTAGTTAATACAAAAATTTTCTTTTATTAGATTAACGGGAAATGGAGTGGTCAAAGTGCTGGAGGGTGTGGAAATTTCCAAGAAACTCACAAAAATAACCCCATCTACCAGTTCCATGTAGATAAGACTGGGCCCATGCTGATTGAGCTAAGAGGACCAAGGTTTGTGATGAGTGATCTCTTTTCTAATCAACAGTTATTAAATGAACTTCATGGAACAGAGTAGTGTTTAGAAAAAGATCTCTGCATATATGGGCACTTGCTTTATGATCCAGATAGAATTGCAGACCAGTGGCTGAAGGAGCACCTATTCACTAATGATGCTGGGGAATTGTGTCCTCAGCTATTTAAAAAAAAGTTACTAGACATCTGTCTCATGTTTCATCTAAAAATCATTACCAAGTAGATTACGGACCTAAGTGAAAGACAGACCATTAAAACTTTTAGAATGTAGCTCAGGAATTAGTTATATAACCTCCAAGGAAAGAAACATTTTCTCAGACAAAAATATTTATCAATATTGAGTTAATAGTAAGGAAAGAAGTCCCTGATAAAAACGAATAGCCGCCTGACCGGAAGATCACCGCGGAGGCCTCGTAGTGATGGGACGCCCTGGTGTAATAGCCACACGTCGGACACACATTGTCATATTTCAAAGGCCCTTTGTTCCTGGAGTGAGCCAGCAGTAAAAATACAGGCTTCTTTAAAGTAACTTCAATACCTTGTTTTTATGGCTTAATTAAAAAAAATAAGTAGTAGTTTATATAATCAAGTGTAGAAATGCTGTTTGTAAAAATAATAAATTTCCTTCCATACAACATGCTGTATGAATCTTAAAAAGAACATTGAGCAAAAGGGCTATCACTCAACAAGAATACTATGCTGCTCCATCTACATGGTCGGGAGCTGGCAAGAGTACGTGACATATTTAAGGATGCCAAGTTATGTGATAAAACAATCAAGCAAAGCAAGAAAGGGATCACAGTAAAGTTCTGAGAGAGAGGAGTGGTGATGTGGTTCCTTGATGAATAATTTGTAAAGGTTATTTGTTAAGCTATTTATGGTTTATGTACTTTGTTATATTCCACCTTTTTCAAAAGCTCCAGAAGTACAGATAATATGAAGAAAATTAGTACGGCTATTTTAGCCTTAATTTTGCTTGCTTTACCACCTGTTTCAAAAGAAACTATTAATCCTTTAGGTATAATTCAAACTATTCTTTTGCAATAGTCATTGAAGAACTTTTGCCAGTTTCCTGGGAGAAATAAAGTATCTAATTCCTCTTTAGGGTTGAATTTCTAGGTAGAGTGAACATACAGTAGTGCTTATTGGCCATGGGTGTTTTTTCCTTTACTTATTGCCTATGTACATCTTGCCCATTCTGGTGGAGATTCTGCATTTTTCTTAATTGTAAGCATCGCTTTGTCAGGATGCATGAAGATGATACCTCCATTGCATGTGTTGCAAGTATTTTCTAATATGGCTATTTTTATTTTTAACATAAAGAAAATTTTTTAAGGAATGAAATCTCAATGATTTTGTTTGGCTTTCCTCAGTACATTTCACCCTAATTTCAAATGTGTTTTCACTATAGTTATGGCTTTATTTTTTATATTCCACTTTATAATGAATGATTATTTTTATATTTAGAGTGCGGTATAATTTGACTCTAAATTGCCACAGCATCCCCATCTAAATAAAGAACCCTTTCTCCATGGATTGAAATGTTTGTCTAGCATAACCATATATAGGTCCCAGGGTGGCACAAGCAGTATGGTAGCAGCTGCTAAACCTTAAGGTTGGCAGGGTTGTTTGTTTTGTGTGTCCATCGTGTGCTAATTCTCTCTCAATTTAGATGTTGGGGCTTTCTTTGCTACTCCCTCCTGCTGCCTATGACAATATTTATCTTTTAAATTGACATTGTTCTTTAGAGAGGCAGTAGTTAAAAATAGAGTCTCTTTGAAAGTAAGTGTAGTATCTTTTTCTTTTTTGTGACAAATTAAAAAATATAAAATGGCAACTTGTATAATTAGGTGTAGAAATAGCATGCATGTGTGTCAGAGTGCTGGGTCTAGCTGGTGAAGCGTTGCGTTAGAAAGCATACTAAGCAGTCCACATGTACACTTTAAAAGTCATTATCCCAAATCTTGCATTCACTTGAAACCATGTTAAAGTTAGAATAATTGCTCCTTTTTAATGCTAGGCAATACAGTGTTGGATTTGAGGTGGTGGCAGTGTCTGTGGGGACAGATCCTGGTGCTCACGGCTTCCAGAGGAAATCTAGTGGTGACTACAGGTAAGGCTAACATCTTGATTGCGTCCAGTGTACACTTTACTTTGTGTGGCATCGTCAGGTAAGGCTAGCATCTTGATTGCGTCCAGTGTACACTTTACTTTGTGTGGCATCGTCTTCCGTAACCTTTGTTCTCATTTTTCCTCAATATAGGTGTGGGTTCTGCTACTTAGAATTTGAAAATATACCTGCTGGGATCTACAATATCATTCCCAGTACTTTCTTGCCTAAGCAAGAAGGACCCTTTTTCTTGGACTTCAATAGTGCGAACCCCATCAAGACAACAGTACTTCAGTGATCTCGGCAGTTACTGGATTTTATACTTATCAAACATCAACTCTTCAAATGAGGACACAAATCTGCAGGACCCTTAGGACAGCCATCAGAACTGAATGGAATCGCTAAAACTGTGTAACAGTGGAATCTGGTGCTCGTGTCAGGTGTTTGGTGAGAATTGTGTACCAGAATCACCCAGTCACTCAGTAGTTTACATAGGTGTACATACAGAGTTGTGTGCACTGAGGGGCCGTGCTAGATAAAAAAGTACTTATCATTAAAGTTCGACTCACAACACTGTGAGATGCCTCTGCTACGAGGCAAGAACTGAGCCCAGCTGGCGAAATTGAGGGGCATGGGCTTTGAGTGGAATGGTGGGCAGGTGTAATATTCTGAAATCTTTTACTTTCCCCCCTTTTTTTTAAGCAGAGCATGTGGTAAGTTAAACCTGCTTGTTTTGTGACTCCACTGTACATCTTGGGTAACTAATTACCTAATTAATCATATCACCATCACCAAAATTTAATTTTGCATTATTGATGACTTTGAAATGTTTACTGTTACCCAAGTGTTATGAAAGAATAAAGCTTTAAGAAATCCTCATTAACTTAGCATAAAGATGTTCATGCTTAAGAATGGATGTACTTTGAGTGCTTAACTCCCATGGAATCATGTAGAGAACTGAGGTGTTTATCAGATTGGTGCAGATTAATCTTTTGAAACATTGATGACATGACAGTGTAGTCTGAATAGTCTTTTAAGTTACGCTATATTCAGTATTCTTTATGGTAATAGCACTTTGAAGAAAATACAATTGAGAACATAATATATGGAGATTGGACTATGTATAGCAGTTATAAAAGATGAATTGCCAAGATACTAACTAGTGTCATGTGTAAATCCCCAGTTGTTTACCTAAAAATCCATCAGAACAGACAATACTCAGAGTTTAAAGGTCTTTAGAATTCATTGGGTGGGATTTTTCATTGTCTCTGCTTTATAATTATCAAAACTTATTTTGTATTTTACACTGCCTTTAACTGGAATAAAATGTTTATACTTAATCTAAAGAATTGAAATAGCTCATCTAGTGTGTTCCATCTAAAAAGAAAAGATGTTAATAGAGATGATCTGCATGAAAATTCATGCATTGTCAAAATGATTTGCTTTTATATTTAAAGTAGTAGATTACCATTCACTTTGGCAAAGATTTTGCTTATCTCCTTTGGCAAAAATTTTGCCTCTTCAACTTTATCATTCACATTGGCAAAGATTTTGTCCCTTCAACTTTAGCCTATTACTTTTAAGGGGGGATTCATCTAACTTCCATGGCCCTTTAAAGAAAAACCCCAAAGCACATCTATTATAAACATGTTATTTGAGCCTATTATGTTCAAGATCTTGTGCAGGATACCAACAAAAAGAAGACCAAATCCCAACTGTAGAAATCCAATGGAGGAGACGAACCAAACAACGTGGTCTGCTGTGTTGGGTCTACAGTGGCGCACCACGTGGCTATACGGGACAGCGAGGAGCGGAGGAACTCTGGCTGGGCCAGTAGGCTTTGAAAGAAGTGCTATTTTAACCTCACATGCTTTGAGGCAGACTGAAGTGGTAGCCTGCAGTTGGTTACTAAGTGATCACTATGTGGCAGCATGTACATTTGAGTGAAATACAAGTACTACTCATCTACAACTGAAGGTAAGAGGCCTAGAGACCATACAGTTTGAGAAACATAGAAAGGTTGCATAGCGACGACTAGCTGAGAGAGGTGGTGGTATGTTTGTGCTTGTACGTGCTCATAGTTTTTCTAAACCGGTGTCCTCATATTGGGGGTTTGAATGGATTCTGAAATTCAAGCATTTTGGTAAATTCCTCTGAACGATACTGAAAAGAGCTATATGAAATGTTAACTACTTAAGGTCAAACGTGTACATTTGACACTCCAAATGGCTGTGTTTTCTGAATGGACGTCTTTTAGTCCCCATTGATGGGTTAGCCAGCCAAGGATCAATCAAACTATCCAGTCAGGGAGATAAGCGTGAGTTTACTTGTGCTTGTTTACTAATCTGTGGCAAACATTTCACATGGAGTTCACCACGTTGCCTCTCTTGCCCAGCTAAGATTTCTCCTTACTAGTTGGCTACAGTAGCAGCAAACGTGAAGTCATAATTCAAACCTTGGTAATAGGGCCTTGAATCATTAGGGTCCAGAAACTTAATTGAAACCACCATGTCTGCCCTGAGCTGAGAGAGACAACTGCCTAGAACAGAAGATCCACGCAACTTTGGGATTTCTTATGTGAAGTCAGAGAAAGTGAGACATTGTCTTAAGTTTTTATTACATGGAAGGTATTAAGACAAGTACAAAATAACCTTGTAATTGGATACTGTGTCAGTCAATTAAAAAAGGCGACATCACTACAGTATGAAGAGATTTACAAATGGCTACAATACACAAGCAGTGACAGAACAACAGACAACTTGAAGCAGGGAGGTTGCTTTTTTCAAAAATGCTCTTTTAATTTAAGGAAATGCAGTGCTGTGCATGTGCGGTGTCACCATGGAAACAGGAAAGAAGCAGTCCTAACGCACTATGAGCACAACAGACTCCACGGCTTCTAGTGAACAGCCTTGCCAGCACGTGCCTCCTTCCTTCCCAAGCTTTGAGGAGCCGTGTCCTCTAAGGAATACTAGTGCAGCGTAACCCTTAAATCATGTCGTTTACTTTTAAAGTTACAACCTACAGAGAAATTAACACCTTAGCAATCTAGATACAACATCGGCAACCATTGTTCACATGCACTTCTCTTAAGAACAAGTCCCCTTGGCAGGCAGGGTGTGAGGTTTGCACTATAGAACCTCCCTCAGCACCACAAATGCCCTATGATAGGCCCCTGCTACCCTCCACCCACCCCCGTCAGCATTCACTTTTCCCATCCCCAGAAGTGCAGCTCATGGTAACCTCGCTAGAAAGCACGTTGTAAAGCATCTAGGTGGGTGTCTTGAGCTCAAACGCTTTTTTAAAGCCCACTCTGCAACACCAGAGGTGATGAAAGCTGTACTCTTGACCTAAATAGCCAATTCCTAGGATTTCTTTGTTTTTGTTGTTTTTTAAGCCTTCAGAGGAGAGAGAAGGGTGTGCTTTGAGTGCTTGAGTCTGAATTCTCTCACATGACTCTCCTGGGGTGGCAGGGAGAAACCAATCCGCCTCCCCGACCTGGGTGAGAGAAGGGAAAGGGAAGCAAGCTGTTGCTGGCCTGTGGCTTCGCTTCCCAACCCCTTCCTGGCTCGGGAGCTCGCTCAGAGCGAGTTATTGCTTCCACCATGCCGCCGCAGGGGCTCCCCACAAAGGCGGGTGGTCACAAGTCCACCTGTAACAATGCCTCTGCTCTGGAAAACCAACCAGCCCAAGAGCTTTCGAGAAAAATCTTCAGCCCTCGAGGTCACTGAAACTTCATTAGTGCAGTTTGGAGTCATCCCTTACAATTTGGCATCTATTAAATGATTATTGGCACAATGTTCTCCGTACAGTTTCATGTATAAATATTGATAATGCATGTGGGCCAGGGCCCTGCAGGATCAGCCAATCTGCACCACTTTTATGTTGGCAAGGATGTTGTCTCTTCCCTTGGAGCACTGGAGGGAGAGCTGCTTCATCCGGGCCTCCATGGCCGGGCCCTCAGTGCCTGTGCGGCTCTGGCTCTTGTTGGTGCTGCTGACCCCCAGACCTCGATTGTTGTTGGCTTTGTCGCTTGTTTTATTCTCGGCCCCTTCGGCCCTGTCTCCTGTAGACAGCAATACAAAGACTTGTCAAGTGGGTCATGACAATCCCGAGTCCCCTGGGCCCTGTACTGATCCTCCAGCTGAGCCCTTAGGGTCTGCCTGTGCTGCTAGCTATACAGAGAAGGGAGCCCCACCAGGCGCCCCCTCGTGGCTCTGACTCCTTGAGGGCCAAGTGCACATTGCTTCCTTTAAATCATCGTCCAGGGTGGAGCTGGGCTCGCTCACTGTGCTGGCCAAGAGGACTGCGCTCTGCCTTTCCAGGGGCTGGGCAGAAGTGGAGCCAGGACACCCTCCCCTCCGGCGAGCCATGAGGCCTCGATGGGGACAGCATGAGCAGCACGCGGGCTGAGGCACTGCGGACAAGTATGGAGACCCGGCTGGGTGGGCAGAGTCCCGTGCACCAGACAGCAACAACTCACCTCGTTCTACCTCACACTCGGGCGAAGAGGCCCCACTGCATTCGCTGCGTGGGCCCAGCACTGGGAACATCACCCCAAACTCGGACAGGGACACGGGGCTGGGCAGGTCTAGGCTGCCAGGCCGCGCAACTGCCAGGAATTGGTCAGGCATCTCGGACGGGCTCGTGGGTCCTGAACTGAAGCTGGACACAGACTGGGTTTCCGAGTCGTCCTCAGACACAAAGTTGCTGCAGTTGTCATCTTCAAAGGCCTCTGAGGCCACTAGGACCAAAGAAAACCAGTTACATGGAGTCTGACCACGGTCAATGGGCTAGGCCGCGAACCAAGAGTTGAAGGTCCCTGCCTACCCTGAGCCTTCTCAGAAGCATGCCTGGCCATCTGCCCTCCCGACAAAGCTCTGGTTGTGCTCTGACCCACGTGGGGTCACCCTGCACCAGGGCAGCCACCACTGGCTGTAGATCCTTAAACACCTTCAAAGAATGCATAGTGCTGGCAGGCAACAGGCTCTGCCACTGGGCTCCTACTGGCCAGCCACGGGAGTAGCTAGAGGCCACAGACCCTCCGAGCAGCGTTCTAAGCCTGCTGTAGACAGCAGTCCTTCTGCCCTCCTCTCCTGGCTCAGGCAGAAGGTGGGAGACAGGACCTCTCTCCATCCCAGGCCCAAACACGGCCAATGGGGACTGAAGTGAGGACTGCCAGGAAGAGCTGCTGGGAGAAACGGCCCTGCATGGACTGTTTGTAACCTTTAGAATCTTCCAAGTCACTTGTGACCTCATACAAGGCTGGTATGAGGCCGTAGCCCACTGCCATGTGTTATGCCGTCTGCTCAGTTTCTACTCAGCGACTCCATGTGACACAGTAAGACTGCCCTGCATGGTGTGTTTCGTGGGACAGAGTAGAACTGCCCCGTGTGGTGTGTTCTGTGTGAGAGCAGAACTGCCCCATGTGGTATGCTCCGTAGGACAGAGTGGAACTGCGCTGTGTGGTGTGCTCCGTGTGAGAGTAGGGCTGCCCCCGTAATGGTGTGCTCCGTGGGACAGGGTATAACTGCCCCCGTGTTTGTTATGCTGTGATCCTTACTGTGGGAGCAGATGGCCAAGGGTCTCTCCTCGGAGCTGCTGGTGGGTTGGAACTGCCAACCTCTTGTTGGCGGCTGAGCAGTTGGCTCCCTGGTACACCCCTCTTGCCACAAGGTCGAAGCCCAGAGCCATGCCATTCCCATGGTTCTGTCGCCACCTCCGCCTTTGCCCCCTCAGCCTGCTCATGACCCCTTTCTTACAGGCTCTCTCACCTGCTCACCTTCCTCCCATCCTCCTCTTTAAAATCGACCTCTAGCATCTATCACTGTGGTCCGGGACCCCAGGGCACACCCAACACCGTGACTTGCTGCCTGGCCTAGGCCAACTTCCTCAGCCTCTGACTTCCCTTTCTCCCCTGGTAGCATTTGAGACTTGGTATCAGTCTCTCACATTTCCAATGGAAATGATCAGGCCTTGGCTTTTCCTTTATCTGAGTTAAAATGTCTGCCGATTGAAGTAAAGTAGTCCTGGGTAGGGGGCTTGGGAGCTCACTCCACAGGAAAGGGGCAAAGGCTTCCGGAGAGGCTTCCCCAGTTCAAGTGAAAGCTCCACGCCACACTGCTCCACAGGGGGCAGCCACCAGGGCCGGCCTGGCCCC